AGAGAGAGTCTCCCCACGTGTGTGTGTGTGTGTATATATATATATATATATATATATATATATATATATATATATATATGTAAAAACTCTTCTGATTATGTAAAAGCATACATCTGAATTCTGGCGCTCTGTGCTGTTTGTTGTCTTTGACTTTATCACATCTCAATATAGCCTTGATATGGGATGTTTATGTTCCTTGGATGATAAGTGGAATAGATTTGTTGCAATCATATTATTGGTGGGGCGATTCCTGATAAGATGTTAAGATGTTCTCTCACCCTGCTGATCTTATCATTAAATTAAACGAAACATTTCAGACCAGCTTAGAGCCACGTTTCAGCTCATGTAATACTGGATAAGATTTGTACGTAGGAAAGAATAAAATAGTTCTCTGTTTTTATATGATGTAATGAAACCCATAGCACTTTAACGTCTTCTAAACAAATAAAGTCCAATATAAAGTCCAATCCAATATTCGCTACTAGACATCAGAAGTTATTGAAATGAATGTTTTGAGTGTTTGTGCAAGTACAGCAACCCTACCCCAAGGTTCTCTGAACTTAGCTTTTGAAAAACTCCACTTTAGCAAATGGTGTTAAATAAATGCATATTTTCACATTTTTTCCCTTTGTAAATCTTTTTCTGAATTTAGTTTTGAACTAAAAGATTTGTGGAGTCAACTGTTTTACGACATCACTGTCATGTTGAGCATAAGCCACAGAATACAGTGTTTTCTGAAAATCTAATCACATGTCTGAGGGTGAGACTAAGAATCTATTCACTAGGGAGAAAGAGAAGTTCTCTCAGAGAGGACAAACATGTTTATTAAAAAGAAAAAAAATCATTCTTGATGCAGTACCCAAAAGACCTACATTTTCAATATTAACTTACCTTCATATTGTTCCAAACATTGACTTTATTTTTTTTTATTTTGAATTAGCTTTTACTTTTATATTTTCAGTTTTCATGTTAATTTGTTCCATTTTTAGTACTTTTGTTATATGCTTTGTCATATTTGTGCTTTTGTTTTATTAGGTTTTTTATTAAGTTTATTCTTTTTTTTTTTTCAGTTTTATTTTTTTATTTATTTCCAGTTTCCAGTCATTTTAGTGCTTCAGATTAATCTTATTTCATATAATGCCATGGCATCATTTCATTTAGTTTATTATTTATATTTTATTTTAGATTTATTTCACAAAAAATGCAATAGTTTTAATTAATGATAATAACCCTGTCTTCTGAGCAACACAAAACACAATTAATGTTTTTAAAGTATGTTGACCGGTCCATTTCAATATAATGAAGTGAATGAAGACTGGGATTGTCAAATATAAACCATCTTGAAAGTGGTCCATGTGCTTTGTGTCAAATCAAACAAATATATTCTTCAATAAATTCATTTCTGTGATTCAATGAACAAAACCAGACTGAAAGAATCATTCAGACTGATTCAGTTCTTCAGTTCAACTCACTAACTCAATAATCTGGTTGCAGCAGTTCTGCTGGAAAGTCAGATTATCAGTGAATCATGTAAAGTCATCATATGACTTCAAAAGACTTGGAATTTAGCACATTAGTCATATGAACCACTTTTATGATTCTTTTAAGGTGTTTTGACCATACACGTCGACCACTTCATTATTCAAAACATCTCCTTTTGCATTCTATCATGTTTCTGTATGACTGAAACATCATAAGTAAATTATAACAGCATTTCAATATATTAGGGAACAAATCATTTAAGGCTTGTGACATGGAGTGGCTGTGCAAGGTATCAGGTTGCATTATGAATAACAAGGTTTAAATGTATAGCAATGATTCCCTTCACTAAATCTAAGTGCTACTCATCTGATTTCAATCTCGCCTCAGCTGCATTGTTAGTGTTTTTGCATTCCTGAACACTGTCCCAAATACACATCTCATTCAACTCTTCATTTCCACTAATGGGAAAACAGCCGGCGAGCGTCAAATTCATTTTTAACTATGCTAATTTTATGACTCTTGAAGACCATTAAAGTGTCACAGATTTGGCCTGAAACATGTGATTCACAGTCCAGAGGCTGATCTTATTATATCTATGAACTCATCAGACAAGATTTACATTAATTAAGTTGAAAATTGTTTAGATTCAATAACAGCGGGTCACCTGATACCATCAGAGGGTGTTTTATGAGAAGACTCAAATTTACCATGCAGTCATAAGATCCGACAAAATTATGAGCATGACATTCCAGCAGAGCTTGATGCCCTCTTCTGGAGCTTGTGGCATAATATTCAAGCAGCCTGAATAATTCTTTGGCTAAAGAGTAACACAACTGTCAATCTGTAATATTTTTAAATGAGCTATGAATATCAAGACTTACTTTAATCCAAGATTGTACTCATTAAAAAAGTTCCTGTCCTAGTGTCTTTTAGGACATTTTTAATGAATCTGTCTGGCCACATTCAAACAAAACAATAAGAACAGTGAAATGCATCATATACTGTTATATGTAAGTGAACGATGCATTCCAGCATGAAAATTGTGTGCCCTTTCCTGACTAGTCCATTGGGCAGTTGCATGATTTTCTCCTGTAAGCAAACTTACTTTGATTAGTCATACAGCATCTGTGAATGTTTCAGTAGTTTAGTAGTCATCAGCTGGCCTACATGGAATCTGCATGTGCAGAATTGCACCATCCATCATTCAAAAAGCTGTACTCATCACCTGCCCTTTGTTCAGCTCCATTTAACACATTTGACCATGTTTAATGGCAATCTACAGAATACTACATATTTCAACAGTCACGTTTCATCACAGTCACAACTTCAGTCACATTTCTGAGCAGGCAAAATAAGGGGGAAAAGGTTAATTAGTGCAATGGTCAGTTTTGTGTATATATTTTGTATTTGTATTTCAGAATAAGGCTATACCTTGTCAAAACTATGAGGAAAAAAAATCATATTTACAACATATTGCCACAATTTACCTTTAGTTCTCATTATAAGACAATATTGTATATTGTAAAATTACGAGAAAGTTGTTTTTACATCTCACAAAATCTTGTAAATACAACTTTCATGATCATAATTTTTAGTTTATATTACACAAATAAAACTTCATCTTGTCAAAATAATGATACATTTGAATTTACTTTATATCATAATGTGACTTTATATCTGAAAAAGTGACAATATTTTGTAAGTACAACTGTATCATATTTTGACTCACAATTTGATTTAAAATGTGACAATTTCTTTAAAATACAACTTTCATTTATAATTTAGACTACTGTATATCTCACAAACCACAATGTGACTTCATTTTTCTGAGAATCTGGCTATATCTTATCAAAATTATTAGAAAATTGTATTTATGTCTCATAATATTATGACATCTCGCCAATATGATTTATTTCTCGTAATTGTGACTTTGCATATATTTCGTAATGTGACAATATTACTTAATGTAAACCTGGTAACACTTAACAATAAGTTTTCATTAGTTAACATTAGTTAATGTATTGACTAACATTAACCAACTATACATTTGTTAAAGCAACTAAAATCACACATATGAAAAAAATATATCCCAGTCTTTACCTTAAAAAGATAGTTCACATTTGCAGTCGACTACAGTCATATCGGCTCTTGTCATATTGCTCAAATACACACAACAAAAATGATACAGTATGTCATATATCTCAGTCCCTTTTTCATTTTACTGTTTTTCGTTTCTTTTTCTTTTTTGCAGGGAGACCCATTGTTTTCTTTCCTCTCTCACATTGTCCTCTGCTCTCTTCACTCACTTGTTTTATTGATCGATTGGCTTGGAATGACTCAAAGTAAATCAATCCTTTATCAAATTTGGAGGGCTGCCCAGGAAGAACATTTAAATGTTTTACAAGGCCATGTAAGAGCTAACAGCAACATGTCCTCTCATGGACCTTTTTCAGTCTTTCCTGGGCTGGTGCTATAAAACTATGCCTCAGGGGTATTTAAAGGGGTATATTTAGTATGCTTCGCAAAAGTGTTGAGTATATCCAAATCCTCTTTGAGGTGCACTAGCTTGTTACATTTTAACATGGTTTTCTGGCCATGAGCAACTCCAGGAGCAATGAACTTAGCTCATGTCTAGCCAATGTTATGTGACAGTTTGTGCACACAGAGTAAATTATTCTGGGAGGGAATGCAAGTAAATTAGTAAGTGTCTGAGGACTGGGATGTTTGAGAGCAGCAGGTAGAGCTCTGTGCTGTAAGGCCTGCATTTTTCCTTTGCTTGCATGTGCACACGTATACACACAGATAAATGTGCACAGGCACACGATCATGCTCAGATAAGAACGAGAACATGAGCATGCTGATAACATACGTAGATAATGCTGGTTACTAAAACCACAATCTGTAACCGTATGAATCAACAGGGGAACTGGCCTTAAGATAGATGCCTTTGTACTTATCTGCCTCTAAACATGTTTTCTTGGTAGTTAGATGACCTTGCTTTTGTTCAGGGCACATGCTTTTTTCACATCCTGTCACTAACAAAGCAAAACTGTGAAAGGCTAAGCCCAACCCAACCTCAGACCCAGCACTCATTATGGACACTGGCCATATAATTACTTTGAGTACCCACCGAAGTGACATATGGATGCCCATAAACTAGCACTGAGAAAAGACAGACTGAGTGCAACCACAAATCTGGAATGGGATGTTGGCCTCAGGGACAAAATGTGTATTTTTAGCTGCGCACAGAAGAATGAAGGGGTGCATTTGAAGAAACACCCAGCCTGGATTAGGAGCTTGGCTGATGATAGTTTTTACTTCTCAGTATCCACATTTCCTGTGAAAGCCCATTAATGCGCCAAAGTAAGAAAAAAAAACGGTAACACTTTACAATAAGGTTCATTTCTTAACATTGCTTAACTCTATTTGTAAACATAAACTAATAATGAAAAATACTTCTAAAGCATTTATTAATCTTCGTTCAACATTAATACATTATCAAAATCAAAAGTTTTATCGGTTAATATTATTTAATGAACCTGAGCTAATACTAAATACTAAAACTATTAACTAACATTAACAAAGATAAATAAATACTGCAACAAATGTATTAATACTGTAGTTTGCAGTTTGACATGTGAAATAATAGTCATATAGAGTTTATTGAACCTTTAGACAATATGTGAAATAAAAATTGCATGTGAGTATCATGTTTGATTCATCAGGCTTGTATGGATCATAAAGTATGATATATGGAGCTTGTACTCAAAGAAAAACATCACAGTTTTTTTTTTCTTCAGCGGCCCAAACGGTGCAAAAAAATGGTCATTTAGTGCAGTTGCTGATATTCTGGTCATCTTGAAATATTACTGAAAAAAATATGTATTCTTATGTTTACTTTATAAAAATCAGTAAAGATTTTACAGCAAAAAGGCACGTGTACCATGTGCCGAAGGTGGGCATAGAAGGCCTTTTACCTGCAAATTTTTTTACAAACAATCAATCAGATCACAGAAGGCATGTAGTGGATTGTGTAAAACAGATTTTTCAGCAACATTTTGATTGCTGATTTAGAGACTTTAGAAATCTGCATTAAACATGATACAGGGTTACAATTTTAACTTATTGATGAATCATGATTTCTTGTGTAAAAATGTTCACACACAGGTTTCACTCACAAATGCATATGCACACTGTTAGTGAATGAAACCCATTATTTATCCTCTATAAGGAACTTCCTGTACTGTAAGTGCTGTGAGGTCTTGGCAGAACTGCCAGTCGCCTACAGATGTCCTTAATATGCACTAAGAAACTGGAGCCAGACCTGTGTTTGGAGATGCTCTTACCAGGAGGTAATGGCTTTAAGTAAGACTATACTTTAGGATAATAAAGTTTTTCTCAGTTCCTAAAACACATTTCCTGAAATCCATAGCACATTATAGCACAACTATAAATGCAATATCAGTTATTCAAATTGAATTGTACAAACCTAAATATTTTAAGACAAAATCAAACACTCTATTGCAAACTAGGTTACCTAGATTGGTATTCAAACTTTCAAGTGACTCACAAAACCATTATGTTCACGTTCTCTAGTTCTGGTATCTTGTTGAATATCAATTATTTTTTAAAAACTGCACTTAGTTTCCCTATTTGTGTCCCAAGACTACTTACGATACATTATTATACTGAAGAACTTCTACCCGACTGATGTTTGCATATTCAATAGCATTGGATGTCATTCAATTCTCCACGTATATATTTACTTATTTTCTGAAATGTTTTGCTTTAAATGTGTTTGTGCTGTTTTTTGTTTTCATAAAAATTGCACTTGCCACATATTTGGTATAAAGCAAAGATATTCATTAAGTGTTCAAAAACGTTTTGGGGGCCACTGTATTTG